TATGAGTATGTTTATTCAGCAGTGGAGGTCACTTTGATTGGCTGTTCTACTTAGCGAACCATAGCACCAAATGAAAAAAGGAAGTGATGAAAGCAAGTAAACAACTCAAGTCAAGACAGTAAACAGAAGGCTCTTCTGGCTTTTGCCGTTTTCCTTTTACAATGACAAATGCTGACTACTGCCACCTACTGGTATAGAGAGAATTTCCCCTCACATAGGCACAGAAACATACTTGCTATTTGGCCATTGGCTGTAGTCTTTGCACTGTGTTCAAGTGCAGCTTTTCGGTGGTCACACTAGATATTAATTCATGCTAAATTATTATAATATGGGCAAAAATAATAAGACAAAATAATAAATGCAAATGATTCAACTAAAATGAACTTGCATTTTAAACCTTTAAAATGGCAAAAAAAGAAAAAAAAAAGGCTTTCCTCTATATTTGGTTTTGAGCCAAGTTGAATGTCTCGATTGATAAAGTCTTTCCACTATTTCAGATTTAGTGGACATGAACACTGAAACATAATAAAAGACTAGCATTCTTTCTTTTTATTTATCTATTTTATTTGAGGTTTGCCATTTCTGCATCTCTGTTACCAACATCTAAATTCAATGTAAAACTAATTATTTTATATGATAGTGCAGTCAGCAGACCGATATAAACCTGGGCAGCCTTAAAAGCAAATCAGTCACATTGAAGCTTACAGTTTTGAGAACACTTTCACCATTTTGTCTCCAGTATGTGTACAGTGTCCCATGGGCACTTTAGGTTTAACATGCCTACAGAAGTGTGTTTTGTAGGGGTTTAGTATGATTTGTAACAGACCTTTCAAGAACAGATGAATATTTTAAAAGGCTCAGAAATTGTTATTAGTCATTTTATCAGATGCATCTTCTGTCATATTTTCCTCAGTGTTAGCTGAGACAAAACGGTGCTCTGCATTTGATTTGATGGAAGTCTGTTGATATGACACTCTGTATTTGCGTTTAGGGAGCAGGCCTTGCTGACAGCACGCCGTTCTCCAGTGTTAGGACGTCACAGAGAGTACGAACTCATCCGTTACCCTCACGTTTATGATTCTTACACCGAAGCCATCAAGACCTCAGCATTCGTCGGAGGAGCCAAGGTAAAATCTCACCCGCTGCTCACACACACGCCACTAATCTGACTCTTATATGTGTAAGGACACAGAGGAAAAATAAATCTCCGCTCTTAAATACAAAATCTCTCCCTAGTGCTTTGTTTACTCCGCATCATGCCAATCTGCTCAAGTATATCACATTATCACACACTAGATTACCTAGAGCCTTTGTTTTTAATCCAGTTTTTATGATGTCTTAATTAAAATTCCTGCTGCAGGCCATCTTCCAGCGATTGAAATGAATGAGCCTCATCTTTTTCCTGCGGGTGGGGTGGAACAGGTGGTTTAGAGCCAGGATGATCTAGAGCTTTTTATCACAAAAATGTATAAGCAGCACAACTGTTTTCAGCATTAATAATATGAATAATTATAAGACATTTTCTAGAGCTCGTGTGACACTGAAGACTGGAGTAATTATGCTGAAAATTCAGTGTTACATCACAGGAATAAATTAAATAAAAAAAAAACATTAAAGCAGAAAACAGTTATTTTAAATGGTATAATTGTATATTTAAATTGTAAAATTCAATAGTATAATAAATTGTATAATAAGAATTTAAATTGTAAATAATTTTATAAATTTAATTAGCTGTTTTTACTATCTATCTATCTA